GACGAGCCACCCACCCATAGATTTCCAAGGAGGAGGTGCTCAACCCCATCTTGCAGGACACCAAGAAGGGCAAGCTCCGCTTTGTGCGCAACTGCTTCCCCCACAAGGGCTACCTCTGGAACTACGGCGCCTTCCCTCAGGTATACAATGACATGAGCCCGATATCGGACAGGACACAGAGTCACTGACTGCTTGCACAGACATGGGAGGATCCCAACGTAGTCCACCAGGAGACCAAGGCCAAGGGTGACAATGACCCGCTCGACGTCTGCGAGATTGGAGAGCTCGTTGCCAAGCCCGGTGAGGTCATCCAGGTCAAGGTGCTCGGTGTCATGGCTCTGCTTGACGAGGGCGAGACCGACTGGAAGATCATGGTCATCAACGTCAACGACCCCTTGGCCCCTAAGCTCAACGATGTCGAGGATGTCGAGCGCCACCTCCCTGGCCTGCTCCGCGCTACCAATGAGTGGTTCCGCATTTACAAGATCCCCGATGGCAAGCCCGAGAACCAGTTTGCCTTCTCCGGCGAGTGCAAGAACAAGAAGTACGCCATGGACATTGTTCGTGAGTGTGCCGAGGCCTGGGAGAAGCTTGCCACTGGCAAGACCCCCAAGGAGGACCTTTCTCTGTATGTTCCATCTTCTTGTGCATCTCGCTTCCTCTAACCTGCCTGCAGGGTCAACACCACCGTCTCGCACTCCACTGAGCGCACCGACCCCAAGTCGCTCAACATTCCCCCGGGCGAGAACAAGGCCCCCGCTCCCATCGATCCCAGCATCGACAAGTGGTTCTACATCTCGGGAGCGCCTACCAGCTAGATGTGTTGCACTCGTCTGAATTAAACATGACTTTTGGGGTTGGCAATGATATGATGCACGTGACCAAAATGCCAGAATGAGGGCAATCTACATAAGACTCTAGAAACAACTCATCTTACAAGCTCATACGTGTGCATGAGGAATATCCGTGACGCCGTCCCAATGCATTATCTGAACTCGGAGGAACATGGTGTACATGGGTGATGCAGATGTGGGATGTATGTATCAATTGCCATTTAATTCCTCCTTCCGTGCCAGCGACCGTGAATGTCTGTCAACCTCTTCGACAACCTGCGGGATCCTCATGGTGTCCAATTGGAGGTTCATCTCCTTGCCATCCTCTACACAAGCATTAGCAATGACACAACCACAACTATATTGTTTTTCCCCCCTAATCCATCCGCTTGAACCAGGAGCCCTCCGAAGCCAACTCGCACATCCTGTCTGCTTCTCCCCGGACCCCCCTCCAACCTCCTCTCCAACAAAACAAAAAAGAAGCAGTAAACGTACTGAACTTGACAGCCAGCGTCGCAGGCGCCTTACTAGTCCGTGGCAACATTGTGGATTCAATCTTCATGCCGTCGGCACGCGCATTGGGCGGTATGAGCGATAGGAAGAGGCGTGCGGGCTTGGAGCGCGGGTTGAAGGGGTTGAAGGTTACGCGCACGTCGGTTAGGAATCTGGTTATCATTGCGGGTGGGCGGGTTTGGGTGTATGTGTATGTGTGGGAGGTGTGTTTTGCGCTGTGATTGGGGCGGGGGGAGGGCTCGTTGCGGGTTGTGCTGGTGGTTTGGAGATTTGTGGTTGGGTTGGTGTGTGCGGCGGATTGGTTTGCGATGAGCTTGTGTGGGAGTGGGGGTGGATGGGTGGCTTTGTGAGGTGTGTACTTGGGTCAAACGGCTAGCTGGAATTGTGAGGTGTGTACTTGGGTCAAACGGCTAGCTGGAATTGTAACGTGTGCACTCCGCTCCAACGGCCAGCCGTAGTGTCTCCGTCATAGTACTTGGGCGCATACATCTACCTTCCCCCCCCCCCAGGACGCAAACGCAGCCATGCCGCCCCTCCCTTCCACCACACAAGCCCTAACAACACGTCTCACTGCACTATCGGAGGCGAACAAGGCGGCTGGTCAATTGATACACCGGCTCGCCAAGCTAGAGTTCCAGCCTGGATCGCTGCCACTCGACGGCACGGACGAGGGAGACGTGCGCTTGGAGTTGAGTGCTGAGATACACGAGACGTTGAAGGGGATCGAGGAGGACTTGGAACTGCTTCGTCAGGAGGTCGAGGATATTACGCAGCAGGCTCGTCTTGACGGTAGGCGGAAGGACGGCGCTAAAGAGAACGAGAGGAATAGGCTTGCGGTGTTGCTTGCACGGTTGACTGAAGATCTCAAGTCGTATGTTGCCCCAGAATCTAGACCCACATCATCACATCGTGGCATGTATCCTGATTATTTGTAGATCACGAGTACAGTATCGAAAAGCCCAACTGACAGCCAAACACAACGCCGACCGTGCAAAGCTCAAGGAACGCGAACTCCTCTTCAACAACCTCCAGTCCGGCTCCTCAACCCCCTCCTCAACCTACCGCCAACGAAAGCAGCAAAAAGGCTTCTCAGAGGGCGAAGTCGTAGCCCAAGCCTCGTCGGACGTCACCGCCGCCCTGCGCCGCACGCACCAGTTGATGCAAGACGAGCTGTCGCGCTCGCGCTTTGCCCAAGAAACCCTCGAGCAGTCAACGGCGGCACTGGCGGAACTGGGGGAAAAATACGCAGATTTAAACACGTTGTTGGCGAATAGCAAGGCGCTGGTGACGACGCTGCTCCAGAGCACAAAGAGCGATACCTGGTATCTCGAAACGACGTTTTACGTGCTCATCACCACCGTCATCTGGCTCGTCTTTCGCCGCTGGCTCTACGGTCCCCTCACCTGGTTCCTCATCTGGCCCCTCAAACTCGCTTTTCGCCTCTTCTTCGCCCTTTTGCCCGTCGGTGGCGGCGCCGCTTCTGCAGCAGCAAGTTCCAGTCCCGCGCTCTCGTCCTCGTCTTCGTCTAGCCTGATTGTCAAACCCAGCGCAACAGGCGGAATTCCAAGACGAAACACGGATCCCAACGCCCCTCCGCATTTCGTTCGCGTTGGCGGCGGCGGCAGAGGTTATATGCAGGGTGCGGCCGATCCCAGTCCGCCGCATTCTCACTCGCAAATCGTTGGCAATATGGCGGAACAGCAGCAGGATCAGCAACAAGAAGACACCCCCATCCACCCACAACTCAGAGACAACCCCATGCAGCAAGGCGATGATGACCCCGACGCCCCGGTCCGACGCGGCGACGGCACTATTCTAGAGCCGGGTCATGGCCCGCGCAATCCCAAGAAGAAGATGTGGGATGAACGGGTTGAGGCCGCGAAGTTTGAGCAGCAGCAGAAGCAGGGGGCACAGGAGCAGGAGGGTCAGGCAGCGCAGACAGGGCAGGCAGGGACGCAACAGGGTGAGGCGCAGAGACAGAGGGATGAGTTGTAGTTGGCTAGTTGGCAAGGTGGTGGAATTGTATGAATGGATGGATGGATGGAATAGTATCATTCATCTATTTTCTACCTGCTTGTTCCCTCTATATATTGATCTTCTAGACTTGTCTGTCGTCAATCGTCAATCGTCGTCGTTGTGGGATAGTAGATGATTAAATTAAACATCAACATGCACACACATATCATCAACCTCTGTCATCTGTCAAACTCTAATCTCTTCTTTTTCCTTGGAACAACAAGAAAACCCAGAGTTTGTTCATTGTCTCAGCTCCATCTATCGCTCTTGCTTCATTGTCTTGTTTGACCGTCTTACTTCACCATCTTGCTTTACCATCTCAGACATCTCTCTCGTAGATATCACAAGCGGGTAACTCTTAGTCCCAGCTCTCCCTCCCCCATCCCCGCCCTCTAAAGAAAATGCAAAAACAAAGAGACGAAAAAGAAGAAAAAACGCCTCATCTATCATGCTCATATCCATTCCTCGTCTCTGCCACAGAATGGGAAAGAAGACGAAGAAGGAGAAGAAGATCTAAAAGTAAACCTCCCACAGACTCTCCATCATCCCCCCTCTACGCCACACCATTCTTAACCTTGGGCCCCACAACCGCCTTCTCGAGCGCCTGCAACACATCCGCCACCAAATCCGCCTCGTCCTCGACACCGCAGCTGATGCGAACCAAGTCGTCAAACACACCAGCCGCCTCGCGCTGGTCCTTGGGAATCCCGCCGTGCGTCATGGCGCTGGGCACCTCTACGAGCGACTCGACGCCGCCAAGGGACTCGGCGAGCGTGAAGATGCGGGTGGCCTGGCAGAAGCGCTCAGCAGCCTCGTGGCCGCCCTGGATGCGGAACGAGAGCATGCCTCCGCCCATGCCATCGCGGTGCTGCTTGAGAGCAATGGCGCGCTGGGGGTGCGATGCCAGACCCGGGTAATTCACCGAGACGACGTGGGGGGATGTCTCGAGGGCGGTGGCGACGTTTGTGGCATTCTTGGTGGCTTCGCGGGCGCGCAGGTGGAGGGTTTTGAGACCGCGGTGGGCGAGCCAGCAGTCAAAAGCCGAGGGGACGGCGCCGATTGCGTTTTGTAGGAAGGAGAGGCGGTCGAAGAGTTGGGGCGAGTTGAAGGCAGCGACGCCCATGACGACGTCTGAGTGGCCGTTGATGTATTTTGTGACGGAGTGGACGACAATGTCGGCGCCGTGGTCCAGCGGGTTCTGCACATAGGGTGACATGAAGGTGTTGTCGACTACAACCATGATGCCATGTTGGTGGGCGATGGTCGAGACCTTGCGGATGTCAACGAGCGTGAGGGTGGGGTTTGACGGCGACTCGATCCAGATGAGCTTGGTCTCGGGGCGAATGAGCTCGGCAATGTCGATTTCTATGCTCGGGCTGAAGGTCACTTTGACATCGTGTGTGAGGGCGACTTTGGTGAAGTAGCGGTGCGTGCCGCCGTATACGTCGGATACCGAGACTACGTGTGATCCTGCGGCGAGGGATTGCAGGATGTTGGCTGTGGTTGCGGATCCGGAACTGAAAGCGAGCGCATAGCGGGCGTGCTCGAGAGCGGCAACGGCACGCTCAAAATTGTCGCTAGAACGTGAATTGTTAGATTGATTGATTGTGTTTTTCATTCGATTCTTCGCTGTTTCTCTTGGGAGAGAGGGGGAGAGATGCAAATTAACCTACCGGTTCGGGTTTGAAGATCGTGCGTACTCGTACTCGCCCACTGGCTTTCCAACCGCCGTTTGCGCAAATGTAGTCGAGAGGGAAATCTACCGCTGTCAGGACTTGGAGGTTTTCAACGAACACGGGAGGGGTAACTAATATACTCACAGCTTCAATCACAGCGCCCGTAACAGGATCATGAGGACTTCCAGCATGAACTGCCAGCGTGCCAAATCTATGGACTGGCGAAGGGGCGCGCGGGGGCGTATCAATGGGTTGCTCGGAGACTGTCATATTTTTTGCTCGAACGGTCCGAATGAATCCGCAATTGTTTTTTCTTTCTCGCCCTGTGCTCAATTCGATAGGTGTGGGCGTCACAGAGTTGAAAATGTCTCTGCGGAGGAGGAGAAGGAGGAGGAGGAGGAGGAGGAGGAAAGAAGAATCAGGCGTTCAAATGGGATGCGACTTCCTGTTGTGAAATAATGATACTAGTGCGCCTGCCAGACTGCGGGGGGGGGTGGATGGGGCGGTTCGCTATATGCGCGCCTTTGTTTGGCTGAGGGTGCAAATGCGAGTTGCTATGGTGTAATAGTATCCAGTTCTCCCACCTGGAGACGGCCTTTTCCACCATCTTTATATATACGAGCGTTTCAAAGTTTTTCTTCTCCGCCCGGCGGACGAGCTGTTAGATTTCTCAGCAACGGATTATTAAAAGCCCAGAGAGGAAACGAGAGGCGGCGCGTTCTGGGTTCGTTCTGGGGGGAGCGTTAGTGCGGATGGCACCATTCGACGACTTCCCGCGAGGCTTGTAGCGGCCTTGGCCTTTTGGCTTGCAGTCCATGTCTACCCGGGAAGATCTTGTTTCCGATGCGGTCTCCATGTACCATTACAGTGACTCTGCTCTTTGCCATGAGAAGGGCTAGGGTGCTGCAGGTGAGCATCATGCCAAGCAAACCGACTTGGTTTGTTGTAGGCTGGTGCCACACTACCTATTGCATTCTTGAAGGCGTGTGTTCAACCTACTAGCAGAGTGCATACTTGTACCGAAACAGTACTTCTGGCACAGTCTGGTTGATGTACGAGAGGTTATATTCCATATCGAATCTATAATCTACTACTGGAGCATATGCCATCTTTCACATCTGCCCTCATCCCTCAGGTCTGCTCTTCAACTTCATCCACCCGCTCGAGCCTTTCCTCCGCCCAGCTTGCTCTCCTTCCGATGCATCGACCCTCGATACCAGCGAAGACTTTCCATTCGACGTCATAGAAGTAAGGAAGCTGCGTCCATCACCAACCGGTACATGACCCCGCCGTTTCTCCCCGACAACAACAGGATCCTCGGCCATGAGATTCTCCATGTCCTCCCACTCCTTCTGGTTGACTACATCCCACTCTTGTGCCTGTTGCTCAGCAAGCAGGAAAGATTTGAGTTCGTCAACAATCTTCGTAGCCGTCAAAGCCCATCCACTTAGATACTGTGCGTTCTCCGCAATGTTCATGAATGAGTGCGAGGTTGCATGGGATAGCTGCCCAAACCCCACAGCCGTCTTTCTCAAAGCCGCCCTTGATGATTTGCTCGTCGTCAGATCCTTGTGCAGTGGATTCTCCAGTCGTTGCGGGAGATAGCTTTCCTGGGCGATAAGAAGACGGTACAGGTTGCGGCCTACAGGACAGACATCTTCCCACTGCTTAAAACTGTCTTTCATGCCCTGACTTCGGCACAGCCAAGCGATGTTATAGGCGAGCAAGGAAACACCCTCCATAAAGGATGAGTACGCTAACGGGTCTTCGGCGGAAAGATGACCCAAAGGACGATCAACAAACAGTGTCCGGGGCTTCGGTAGATGTACGCGTGGATCAAGTGTACGGGAAGCTTCTGGGCTTGCCGTCGAGGAGTGCGAGGGTGTCGAGCCAGGAAATGGCACTTTCTTGCCTTGATACGACGAGGCCGGGCTGAATATGGTGGGTTGTGGGTAATCACTATGAGGTAGTGTGATCTCAGCAGGAAGGCGGATGCCTAGATAAGCAGCAACTCGGACAAGCAGTTGGGCTACTGCAGCCAGTGATGCCGAAAGCCCGTCTGGCGGAGCATCTAGGACCACGTTAGTATACAGCATCAGTTTGCAACTTCTAAAACAGGCTTACCATTCAACTCTCTCAAATCCCAGATTCGCAGACGTGTGCCCGGCCCAATACTGAAGACTTCTTTGTAACCTCCGTCCCTCGTTTTTCGCTTAGTGAGCTTGAGGCCCGCCAGTTTGGCAGAGGTCGTGCAAAGCTGCATGCGCAACTCCACCGTGTCATGGTGCATCTTCTCTGATCTGTATTCTAGCTTCTTCACATGCTGCTGGACCTTGTCTAGTTCGTTGGCGCGGCGTGACTCAATGCCATATGTCGCAGAAGAGAAGTCGGACTTGCGTTGCGCAGTCTCCGCGCGCTTGGCCTCGATCTGCCTCCTCGTAGCCTCCATTTGGTTTCGAAGCTGGGCTGCCTGCGCGGCTATACACTCGAGGCGTTCTCGTATGACTGCGGTCTCGGCCTTGGTACGCTGCCAGTTCAGGTTGTTGGTACACTCATGTCGATCGACAAGCAGGCCGCCCTTGGAGTCGGTCAGAGAAACGTGCTGCACTGCCTCGTCCTCGGAGCCCTGGACGACCGCGTTGACATGCTTCTCGACAGCATCGCGGTCTATCAGTATGCGCGCAAGGTCGATGCGGGGTTGTTCTAGGTGGGAGCGGGCACAAGTGATACAGTGGAGGCCGTGGCCTACGTCGCCGGCCTTGCCACAAATGTCGCACTCCATCCTATCGGAAAGGTTAGGTATTCTCGCCGCCCGGTATTCCGTAAAGTAGTAGGGCTGGAAGGTACAGCGAGCCCATGGTGAGGGTGCGTTGCCGTGGAGGTTTGCGGGTATCTATGTATCCATGGAGCCTGCCCAGCAACGGCTGCCTGGTTTGGGTTGTGGAGAGTTGGGAGGTGCTGGCTGGGAATAGAATGGATGTGATGTGCAAGAAAAGGAACAAAACAGAACAAAACTTGTGCACGCCGTGAACTCGGAGGCTGGAGGCTGTGTGACCGAAACAGCAGCAGGCGATGGGCGCAAGACGCGAGTCAGACGCTCTTTCCAACCGATGTCATGCTGCGTGTGACGGAAACGGAAAGCACCATGCTTCACGTGATCGTCCATGGACATGCATCACAGCGGGCCGCGCCGTTCCTGCATTGGCTGTCGCTCACCATCTGCAACATAGCGGTCTATGTCTAGGTATCACTCACCCATCGAGAAGAGACGGACGCGTCGAGAGCCCTCCCTGATGCGGAGAGGTTGCTGGTATCGCTGCTGATCATTAACCTACAGCACTGACCCCGTGCATCCTCATCATCGCCAATGAGCAGCCCAGGCAACGCGTTTGAATCGTCTTTACCACTTGACCTTCCGTCAGAGATTCGCTCATCACCTCCGGTACTGACCCAAGCCGCGTCCCAGCTACCTGCCATGGAGGATAAACCTTCTGCGAAGTCTGAGCCGCCAGCGACCAAGGACGCGGAAGCCTCGCGACCGGCCCACAAGCGAATGAACTCCGATGACACAGCGCGTCCGCCATCAGCCCAGCAGCGAGATGATGATACAGGTGAGGAGCAATCTGATGTCAACAGCGAGGACGAGTCAATCGACAACGGTCCAGCGGATCCAATCTCTGATTTTGATTGGGATGACCTACATTCACGCTACCATGCAGCCATGGACAAGTGCCACGGTGAAGAAAATGAGTTGATGCTAGAGTTTGACAGTCTGATGAATGTACTGCTTCGCGTCGACACACATGTGAACTGTATTGACACCGAATATAGTATTTCCGCATATGGGCAGAGTCTGGACACGCGCATGAGACAGGGCGAACGTATCATCGGTATGGCGGAAGATGAGTACAATATGAAATGCATCGCTGATGACGTTGAAGTCTCCAAACCCGCTCAACCTATGTACGACACTCGGAGGATACATTGGAGACGACACGCAATCATTGTAAGATGATCATCCTCTGCACTGTAAAACCCCCGTATTTGGAACAGTTCCTGACTTTGCGCAGACATCAGCGTGGTGAAGGCTTTCGAAAGTGCGCTCAACCTCCTTAGAGCCCCTGGGTTTGGTCGTTGATATGTGGCGTAGATGCTGTATATCTTACACATCACCCTACTAGGGTTTCGGCCAGGCAGCAAACGCACTTACAAAAAGTGCATTGCATCGTAATGTGACATTGAACTATCGGATCTCTTCGTCCTTGATATCTTGTTGCCGTCACATACAGCACATACAGAGCACAGACCTCAAACGTCGAGCTGGGAGCATGCGGATCTTGTATGACTGCTGTCTATACCAGGTGGCCAATTCTATCTAGATTCTGTAACATGCTTGGCCCCGGGCAAGCCTGTGCCAAAACATTATCCCTGGTCTATATATGCCCCCATATCCCAAAATAGCCGCTAAACATGACGCAAGTATTCTACTAAGCCTTGATGGGCAAAACGACAAATCACAGCAGTGGGTTGGAGCGGTATTCCGGCACGACGCCGTTTGTCTGCGACTTTTCGGCCTGGTTCTCAGTCTCCAACTCGTTGTCCACGCCACTGTCTCGCTCAGCGAGCCACTTCTCGGCTTCGAGGGCAGCGATGCAGCCAGATCCTATTTAAAGATTAGCAATGCTTCCCAATGCAGGGTAGATAAAGGGTACGAACCTGCACTGGTAATGGCTTGACGGTATCGCTTGTCCTGAACATCGCCAGCGGCAAAGACACCCTCTACGCTAGTGAGACCCTCTCCCGGCTTCGTGATGAGATAACCGTCCTCATCCATGTCGAGTTGGCCCTTGAACAGCTCAGTCGCGGGATCGTGACCGACGGCGTAAAACAAGCCCTTTGCTTCGAGGACAGTCTCCTCTTTGGTCACGTTGTTCTTGACCACAAGGTGGGTCATTAAACCGTTCTTCTTCTCCTCGCCCTTGATTTCGCTCGCGCTGGTGTTGAACATGACTTGAACCTTGGGGTGGGTAGTCAATCGTCGGGCATTCGTTCTGCTTGCTCGGAGCTGGTCTCTCCGTACAAGTACGGTGACCTTCTTTGCCTTCTTGGTGAGGTATAGTGCCTCTTCAACTGCCGAGTCACCACCTCCAATGACCACGAGGGGCTGATCACGGAACATGGGCAGGGAGCCGTCGCATACTGCGCAAGCGGAGACGCCGTTGCCCCAGTATTTTTCCTCTCCTGGTAGATTCAGCCGTCTGGCCTTTGCGCCTGTTGCAATGATCAAAGCGTCCGCAGTGTGTTCCTCCTCCTCGATCTCTTCATCGTCGCCCATGGGGTGCAACCAGTATTTGAAAGGACGTGACTTTAGGTCGACCTTGGCAACGGTTTGGGAGATGATTTCGGTGCCGCAGGCTTCGGATTGTTCGCGCATTTGTTCCTAGAAATTGTGAGTGGTGTTCAGGTGTAAATCGTGTACGCAAAATTTACCATCAATTTTCCACCTCCGATCTTTGTGAACCCTGGGAAGTTCTCAACCTCATCCGTGGTGGTCAATTGACCACCTGCGGCTATACCGAGGGCCATAAAACCTTCGTAAAGGACAGCTGCACATTATTAGCAAAGATTACCCACAAAAATAGTACGACTGTCTTACGTTGCAGATCGGCGCGTGCAGCATAAATGGCTGCAGTGTGGCCTGCTGGCCCTGAGCTAAGAGATGTTAGTTTCCATTAAGATGGCAAATTCCATAAGACCGCGCCTGATAGAGACAGTCGCACATAGTAGCGGAGACTCACCCGATAACTGCATTCAATCAGTATTAAAATTTAAAGATAAACGGGGCAAAACTTACTAACTAGCTTTGAGTGCATCCTTCTCGTGTCGACCTTTGGCTTTGCTGTCAAATTTGCAGCAGATAACCCTGCGGTTGGCGATATGCGCTGGTTATAGGAACTAGCAGCAACGACAGGTATAGAGAATAAGGATAGAACCCGGGAAGAGGTCGCTCTTTTAAAGGCTGAGGCGAACAGTTTGGCGATGTAGGCGGGGTCGGCGCGTAAGTTGTGTCGTGGGTCTGAGCTGAGGGCGATGGAAGTTGAGCGTGCGAAGGGAAGGATGAAAGCCTTTTAAGTGAGGTCTAATTAGCACTCCTAGAGAAGGGGCTAGAAGGTGACTTGGTGAACAATCCAGATGCGGAGAATGACTGAGCAGTCGGTGTCTTAGTCAAGCCTCGGGAATTTCAAGTATGTTTGTTGGATGATGCGCCGAGGCGTAGGGAGTGGGGCAGACACGGGAAAAGTTTACAAAGATACTCGAAGGCAAGGAAGCCGAAGTCAACTATCAAATCTCTGGCAGGTAAGTGTTGTTGTACAGTTTTGGAACCAGGAAAGTCGTTGGAGACTGGAGAGTTGACGATTTTATCGGTACAAGAAAAATTGGCCGATGTTGCGGTTACGCCATCGGCGCCGGTGTGAAGATCGCCGCCAGATCTCTTAGAAATCCAAGTGTACTAGACCCAGGCCCATGTAAATGCATGGCAATCTGACACAATCATGTCACAATGCTCACAAAAACTGTCGCCAATGTGTCGACTCGCTAGTCCCGAATTTTGCATCATGTTGCCGAATGCTCTCCCAACAACTGCACTCAAACAACAGGGTCGTGTAAGGGGATACTTCCGTCTGATTACACCGTACGGTATGCCAGTCCGGAGCCGCACACGTCACGCGCAAATTGTCATGTTGTGCCGACTGCCTGAACGGGGTGGGGCATCTATTTCACTAAGTGATCACGCGCATTTTTGCTTCATTGACGTCTAGTCCTCCGAGCCTGGTCGCTTTCTGAGGTTCTCTACACTATATAGCATACTCTGTATCGCCTGTGTGTCAGTGGAGCTGGGCGCATCGCCGCATCCTCGTTCGAACGAGGCCAAAGACAACGACGCTTCCGCATTCTCCTGCCAGCAACCATCTAACGCCCTTGCAAAGTACTGCAGTCGAGATACCTAGGGATGTTATCAAAGAGCGTTCACCCATCAGTGCTTGATATTGAAATTACCTTGTCATCACGTGGTTCTGTTGTTGACCCCGGTTTTTGGATGTTGTCGATAGAGACGACAGTGGTGTATGATGTTTGGGATAGCTGTAGGAAAGACACGGCCAATGCGTTACCATCCAGTGCTATCGCGTGCCCAGATGCCGGACGCTCAATATTGAAGCCGAATAGCGCTGGTATGCCTTCACATGCTACCAGTATGTCTGTGCTGCTGTCCGGTACATTCCAGATGCCAGAAACTGCGACTTTGAAGCTAGCGTCGTCTTGAGGTATTACAGCTAGCTCTGGACGGCTTCTGAGATGGTCCAAGACGAGAGTACGGATGGGAAGTTTCTCCAAAAGTCGGTAATTCTGCCAATCCCACACGAACAGCTCGTCGTCACCACCACCCGAAACTAGTTTTCCTGACGCAGTGAGACACAGTTTGCTGACGAAGGCCTCGTGTCCAAAACAGAATCCTTCGATTATGTGTGCTTGCGGCTGGCCTCTCGAGATACGGATATGCTCGTCCCGATCTGCTGTAATGATGTACTTTCGACCATCAACTTGAGTGTAGATGATATCTGTGAGCATGGAGACGTGTCCCAAGAGCAGCTCGTGCTTGAATCGCATGGGTTCTTTGGATTTTACGATTCCTTTTGCTTTCTGTTTGAGCTGCTCTTCTAGTGTTTTTCTGTTCCTCCCAGAATGAACAGTGAGGGTGGTGGCGGAAGGTGCAAAGTCCTTTTCCTTTTGCGGTAGCTGCTCACTAGCTAGTGTCTCGGGCAGCTCATCATCGGGTGAATGAATGAGTGGGAGCGCATAGACATCTCCAAACTTGTCTGCGCATAGGATGGTCGAGTCGTCAGATGTGAGGACGATAGAACATGGCCGTCTCGACATGCATCTTTATGGCCTTAGTACCATCTCGTGGTTATTATTTTTAGCTGCTTGGGCTTACCTTTCGCTCAATTGATGCAGTTGATTTTGGGCATCGATGTTGAAGACTCTTATCATCTTATCTTCACCAGTAATGCCGACAAGATATTGTCCGTCATGAGACAGTATCAGGCTGGCAAAATTTGACTTTTGCTCCTTTTGATGTTCAAGCTTGATTCGCTTTCCAGGCCGTTCTTGGTCACCATCATTCTGGTGATCATCCTAAACGTATCAGCCGCACCCACACCGTATAGTGCTATGATGAAGGAATCTGCAGACAAGCCAACTGCACATTCTGCACTCACTGTCGTTGTAGTAGTTTGCTCTGGCCAAGACGAAATTGTGCCTGTGCTAGACTGCACTACCAAAGTTGGACCACTGGCGCCAAAGAGAGTCCATTGAGCCGGTGCTGCAGCAGATGAGTTTCTAGCAATTAGACACTGGTAAGGAACAGCCATGACTGATTGTGTAAGACATTCATCGGCAGAGTCAGTGACTTTTTCCAGAGCCGCGTCGAGATGCGCTAGCGTAAGGTTACGCGAGCACGGACCCCCACAGCAACTCGATCATTTTCGCAGCTTCGCGACAGACTTCCCACTCACCAACAAACATCACACAATACTCAAGTCCTTAAACATCCCTTTGCGTCACAACGAACACAATGGGGGGCAAGAAAGAATCCAAGGCCATCTACTTCGAGAAGCTTGAGGCTCTCCTCAAGGAGTACAAGTCCATCTTCATCGTCACCGTCGACAATGTCTCTTCGCAGCAGATGCACGAGATCCGTCAATCCCTCCGCGGTGAGGGTGTCGTTCTCATGGGAAAGAACACCATGGTCCGCCGTGCTTTGAAGGGTCTCATCAACGACTCTCCCGAGTACGAGCGACTTCTTCCCTTCGTCAAGGGTTTGTTGCCCCGCTCTGCGCGACTGCGCTTACTACACAACTACAATAACTTATACGGGTGCAGGCAACGTCGGCTTCGTCTTCACCAACTCTGATCTCAAGGAGATCCGTGACAAGATTCTCGCCAACCGTGTCGCCGCCCCTGCCCGTGCTGGTGCACTCGCTCCCGGCGATGTGTATGTCCCAGCCGGAAACACGTAAGGAGCCCTGTTGTGCACATGCGTGAAATGGAGACTGACACAATGCAGTGGTATGGAACCCGGAAAGACTTCTTTCTTCCAGGCTCTCGGTGTTCCCACCAAGATTGCCCGTGGTACCATTGAAATTACCTCCGACTTGAAGCTCATTGAGGCCGGTAACAAGGTCGGTGCCTCTGAGGCTACCCTCCTCAACTTGTTGGGAATTTCTCCCTTCACCTATGGTATGGGTATCTACCAGATCTACGACAACGGTCAGACCTTCGCGCCCAGCGTTTTGGACATTGAGGAGTCCCAGCTGCTCAAGGCTTTCTCGTCGGCCATCGCCACCATTGCCAGCATCTCGCTCGCCACCAACTTCCCGACCCTGCCTTCCGTCATGCACTCGGTCGTCAACTCATACAAGAACGTCCTCTCTGTTGCCATTGAGACCGACTACGAGTGGGAGGAGATTGCTGAGCTCAAGGACCGCATTGCCAACCCCGACAAGTATGCTTCTGCTGGTCCTGCCGCTGGTGCTGCCGCCAGCGGTGGTGCCGCCCCTGCTGCCAAGGAGGAGGCTAAGGAAGAGGCCAAGGAGGAGTCTGATGAGGATGAGGACATGGGCTTCGGTCTGTTCGATTAGAGTATTCAGGCTTTTGACAGCATTTCCTGAAAGATATCGGCATGACTACGGTCTGTCGAAACATGTCTTCATGATATAGAACGGTCAACGACAATACGATCAGATGAACACCGCCATTCTTGAGTGTATACGTGATGCTTGCCCAAGCAGTCATTCTCACTCGTTCAACAGGTAAGCCGGACCCTTGATCTTGTTTTTGCTGCTATGATTATTTTCTTTTTAACCCTGAGATCCCTCGATGAGGATCAAAAACAACAACAACAACACTCTAATTTTTTAATGAGCTACCTATCCTCAGCTTAATTTTCCACAAACCATCGAAGAGTTCGCAACTGACCATGGACAGATCTACCCGATTGTGTGCATGACTTTACTCTGTTCCATTTCCGCGTATGCTACGTTCTAATGTCACAGCACTCTAATCACTCACGGTAAATGTGTCAAGCCTCCCGCGTTCGCAAGGTCAACTCGCAGCCAAAAGCACTTCCACATGATTACGCCGCCCAAGCTTCTGCACACAATCTCGCTCTGCAGATTATCCGTATACACATCTGCATGTGACCAGGCGTCTCCCCGCTGATCGACCGCTAGCTCTGGCGCATATTGTCTAATGATACTGGCAGCCACAGCTTTCGCTATGCCTTTTCCTCTGTAATTTTCCTCCGTGTGGAGCGTAGTCAGTGAGCCATCAAGTCCAATGAACGTCCAAGCTATGATTGCACCGCTCTCTTCTTCGAACACGCCCAAACTGTCCAATGACAGCAGTGTGCGGGCTGATCGCGGAATAGAGGTTCTCGCCTTGACTATTTCAATGTCCTGTTCCCTCACTTTACCCCACCGCAGACCTTTTGGTAATTCTCGTGTTTCAGGCAGGGCCGAGAGCTTGAAAAGGAACTTGTTCAATTCCGCGCCAGGTCCGGGAAATTCGCTGCGGACCAAGCCAGCATCGTGGCAAATTCGCATGACATGACGATGGCAGGCTCCCAGCGTAACGACTTTGGGGTAGAGTAAGTGACGCATGTAGGTTCCTGGGGAGAGGGCATAACTGCCGTCCTCTCGAGGGTGTGGATGCTCGATTTCGTGCTTTTTTGCGAGCTCGAGAGCAAATTCGCTGTCCGGATGCATTGGAGGGACTAGGAGTGAAGACATGTAATCAAACAAGGACAATACTGCGATTCTACATTCTGAACAGAAATCCTGATTCGATGAGTGATTTGGGTCTTCTCCTGCAGCAAAGATCCATAGCTCGGTTTCTGGACGCATGGAGCGGTCGAGATATGCTGCTGCCCAGCATTTCGGGACCGTTTCCATGATCGGAGGGAATGTTGCAATACTGTGTGCGTCTTTTGTCCGATTTGGGTGTTTTGTGCGATACACGAGAGTAATGCTGTACGGCAATGACGTCTTCAGAGCTCGTTGTAGCAAAGGTGACGAAGCATCGTGCTCATAGACCCTCATCTTGAAAGAGCAGTGATGTCGTGCAGGATGGACTACGATGAGTCTGTGGTAAGATGCGAGAAGGAAACTTTGATTACAATCGTTTGTGGGCAAGTCTCTCACTATTCCAAACATGTACCTTCCTTTTTAGGGCTGATAGCTTGGTTAGTTCGCTTGTTGGTCGCTACTAGCAGCACCATAGAACCATCATTGATAATAACGACGACTAAAGGCACTGATGATGACCACACATCTCCATCAATTAATGAGATTATTGGAATGCTTCCAGTGTTTGGGCCTAGTATGATTGACAAGGACGCGTTGCCGTACAATGAGCAATGATGATCTCCAGCAGATCCTCCACACAGTCTCGAAGCTAGTATCGTTGTCCGACTTTATACAACATACTGATGAGTATTGGTTGAACTGCGTCAACGCCACAATGGCCAGAAATAGCGCAATGGCTACCCGTCTCCCCGTCTAGGTTGTCTCGATTTGTATCCCTCTTACATGTGGACCACGCTTGCACTGCGCCTACGCATACGTTTTCTTTTTTCGTTAAGTGGAGCATGAACAAGGCGCAAAACGGATGATCACTCGCTATCAACGAAGTACCTCGACCCCGGAAGACTGTTACTGTTCTTGTGGCGTTAGACACTCGCAATCTCACCATAAGGGGCTATTTGATCTCCATCCTTGCCGCAACTCGAGAGATATGTGAAACTCGGGACCGGTCGATAATCTTCAGAAAAAAGAGTTTGAGTGAATATTGGATCATTTTCCAATTAACTGCGGGGTAACACTAAGCTTTGTTAAGCCTGGAAGATCAATTCCCGAGGACATCTTATCGTGACGTTACCTCGTGTTACACTACGCCAAACGGAGCATATGAACGGTAGTATTTCGTCGACACATGAGAACAATCACGAGAATAACTACAGGGCTAGCACAAGTAGCTGCTTTTTCGGAGAGAATATCATCTATTTTGAGAACGCCTTGGCCTAGACGAATGCTCCACTGTTAGTATTGATTGAAATATGTGGTCCATGACTGCATGCTGCTGTGCCATGAAGCATATGGATCACGAGAAGTGGCCTCGACTCATCGGAAAGATAGTGAGCCATGAAACCGAGTTCCCGAAACAGACAATGGCTGACTACTCGTCAATACGTCTTTGACGTCCTAAATGAACATGCTCGGACTCCTTGACCAGCATCTTACAGTTCTGGTTTTCACGTTCCTGCGTAGCTCGCACCCATGGCCCCATTTACACTCATGGGTATATTGGCACTGACGAAGCCAATGTTGGCACTTCTATCTGTTTTGGGGGCTATTTTTGTAAAGGTGAGATGTTTTGGGTAGTGATAGGGTGCTTGTAGAGGTCACTGACACCTCACATGACAGTTTGCCTACGTTGGACTTACGTGTCCCACGCGACATCTTCCCGGACCATGGTATACACGATTTACACATCTGCGTCTCAAATACGCGGTTGTGACAGGAAAGCGAATCTTTTACATTGATTCTCTCCACCAACGCTATGGCCCTGTTGTCCGGCTATCTCCCTCAGAGGTGGGCATCGCAGACCTGGAAGCGTTCAAGGAGATCCACAAGATTGGTACAAAGTTTCTGAAGAGCGAATGGTACCTGCGACTGGCCAATTTCCCAAAGCCTGGTGTGTTCACAATGCTAGATCCTCGCGAGCGTACGTATCTAGCCTTGACCCGGAACATGATTGGAGCATGTACTGACATGGTGATCTGATGATTAGACGGACCAAGACGCAAGCTCTTGTCGAGGTCGTTTAGCAGAAGCTATCTGGTGGACAATTGGGAGTCAACAGTTCGTGAGAAGGCTTTCCTGGCTGTCACCAAGATCAGAGAAAATGCATTGGATAGCATAGCTGATGTATACAACTGGTGGATGCTTCTAGCATCAGATGTCAGTGCTCATCTTGCATTTGGCGAGTCTTTCGGTATGCTGGAGATGGGACATGTAGGTTGAGCGATTCCTGACATAACGCCATAACTGACCCGCTTCGAGGCCAACCAGTTCATTCGTGTGCTCAAGAAACTCACAATGGGTGCTGGAATCATGGTTGAAATGCCGTTTCTCCGCCTTCTTCGATACATACCGGTGAACGCAATTCAAGAAATGTTCAACGCAAACGACTTCATCCTCCAAGGAGCAGGACGAGCTGTCGAAATGGCAAGACAGAATGCGGGAGAAGCCAATATATTCGCCAAGGTGATCGAAGACTGTGAGAAAGAGGGCGACGGACACATTGACGATATGGATGTCAGGATTGAAGCCATGAATGTGATAATTGCGGGCACAGATACAACCGGTGTCACCTTGACCTATCTTACCTGGGCGGTACTCCAGCGACCACAACTACAAACAGCGTTGGAAGCCGAGGCTGCAGGGCTAGCCGACAACTTTACTGAAAACGACTTGATCAAGCTTCCCCTGTTGAACGCTGTGATTGAAGAGACGCTACGTTTGTACGGAGCAGCGCCGAGTAGTCTTCCTCGTGTTGTGCCCAAGGGCGGAACGAGCTTCAGCGGCCACTACATCCCACAAGGCGTGACTGTGGATACGCAAGCTTATACTTTTCACCGTAACCCTGAGATCTGGAACGATCCATTGAGGTAAGTCTACTCCCATCGAACCACTCCCCATATCCTGTATGGTACTGACAAGACTTGATGCAGATTTAACCCACATCGATGGATCTCCTCCAAAGAGCAGACGGCAGAAGCCCTCTCGCCCGCCGCAAAGACCGCGTTCCATCCTTTTGGCGCTGGTGCAAGATCGTGCATCGGCATCCATCTTGCACGTATGGAGTTGCGGTACGCTGTCGCGTTCTTTTTCAGAGAGTGCAAGGGTATCCATTTGGTAGAATCGGCTACGGAAGAAAGTATGGAGTTTGAGAATTTCTTCTTGATTGCGCCGAAGGCGCACCGATGTGAAATAACTTTACGGTGAACACTGCCTCGACGACCGATGCTCACAGTGGGTAATGCAATGGCAAATTGTGGACATGAAGGGGAAGAATGTGGATCAACGTGGTACTGTTTGATACTCGCGTATATACTGTTCAAGGAGTTTCCTAGGTCTGGATGACAGGATGCAGTTGCCCTCCACGTGGCTCATGAAGACAGATATCACTAGGTACTTAGGTACCACATCCTGGCCTAGGTTAGTAAAGCAAGTTTCATATCGAGCAAACACACCATGACAACAACGTAACGTTGCCTCATGGTTATGACCCCAGTCTCAATTCGCACCGTTCATTGAATCTCAATCTTAAAGTATCGTTCTCGATTCTAAAGTTTCCAGCAAATTCTAAGTTTGCGCGTTCGCACCCCAACATCTCATAGGTCCTCATAGTCCCGGGCTTTACAGCTTGAGCGAGGCATGGGCACTCTAGGTGATGGCTAGTCATTGCCTTGCGTGCCTGGACTATGTATACCTACAGTATATGTTGTCAATCATATAGGACGATCATGTCTCCATCTCGATCACTCTAGCACTAGCACTAGCGCCGGATGCTGTATCAAGTTGAACACGGGCGAGTAGTTTGACCTGTGTAAACTAGGACAGGACAGTCAGGTTTTGCGCCGCGGTAAGCCCAAAGCGAAAACTTCAACATACTGGCTGCCAGTGCCGATCTGTAGCGGTAGCAATTTGGGAAGCCTCGAACTTGGGTATACCACGATTGCCGTGCTTGGTTCCCGCGAGCCGAAAGTGAGGCTGTGTTATATACCCTGACAGACAGTAGGTACATTGGGGTATTTTACCCCGAAGGGGGCTGGGGTCTGTTGGAGAGAATGATGCACCGTGCTGCAAATCCTTTGGCGGTTTATCTTACTGTTAAAACGTTCCGAGCGTCCCGCACGAACTAGGGGGTTGGCTGAGCGGATGCGGCCGTACCGGTAAGGTATATTGTAAGTTTGTGTACTTTTGATTTCCTACAATAGCATTCGCCGTTGCAAAAGAACCTTCTATTGACATGCCTGAACTTCACCCGGGGCCAGACTTTCCCTTGGGTTGATCTGGTTTGCCGCTACCACTGTTCTCCAACTTTTGCAAGGAGATATTTTTAGAGTCCGCCAAGACTTGGGGTGGATCTTCGGAAGGGGGTCGCGAATCGATACTGTGGCAACGGTTTGTGGGTGGTGGCATGTCATATGACCATGGATTTAGCGTCGGGCGACTTAGGCTTTACTCCAAGTGGTTAGAATATCCCTGTAGGTTCAAGTCCACGTCACAGCGGCAAATTTTTATAGTTATATAAACTAGCCTATAGTTAAGTATAAATTAGGGTAATTTAAGCAAGTAAACGCAGTTTTTATTACTATCTTTTTTAAACGTGTTCTAAACCTGTTCTTAATAATATACAGGCGTTCCTAAATACTATACTAGAGTTTAGTATAGTAGTACTAGATAACATATCTAAACTAGATAGTAATATTAGAGATAAATTTAGGCAACTGTATAAAGTGCTAGAGGAGGATAGTAGTAGTAGCGTTAAGGAAGTAAGTAAAAGTAAATAGAACAAGTTTAGAATAGGTTAGTAATATATTATAGGGGCACAATATATACCTTACTTATAGTAATAGTTAAGGACTACTACTTACACTAGCAATTATTAAGCATGCAGCTATTCTCCTAGCATACCCTTAATTACATAGCTAAGGGTATAGGTATATAATACTAGTTTAGCAATATAAAGATAGCTCTTACCTAATAAGAGAAGAGGTGCTTATATAGGCTACATAGGTAACACGTTAAGAACACGTTCTTAAATTATTCTAATTCTAGCAGGTATAATACTCCCGCTAGTCTATCTATCTTAATAGGCCTACAACTTTACTATTCTTTAATAGCTAGCTAGCAAGCTAGTATAAATACTAATGCTCTAGGGTAAAAGCGTGTAAGTATCTTAAGAACACGTTATAAATGTGTTCTTATTACGTTGTTAATAACGTATTATACAATTAGATCTAAACCTTAAAAAGTGTAGTACCTAAGAAAATTCTACAAAGAGAACTACAAATAAGAAGCTATTATTATAGCCTTATTAAGCGCTTCTCTTTAAGGATTTGTAAGGACTACTAGGTGTCTTATTATCCTATAATAAGGACTATAGTAAATTAGGTAGGGAGCGAAACTTAAACATGTTTAAAATATATTAATAACAAGTTAGTAAATTATAGAATAGGCTTAACTATATATTAGCTGTTAGAACTATAGCCTAATATCTACTACTAGGAAAAAATATTATTTTAGTTAGGTACTACTAGAGGTAGACTCTACATATCTATAAGGTCTTCTAACTAGGGAGATATTAAATCTTTCTAGTAGTCCTGCTTTATATTCTGTGGTTAAGCTACAGTTAAGCTAGATAAAGAAGTATAGTAGGCATATTGCAACCTATTCCTAACATGTTCCTAACATGTTCTAGGCGTTAATTATCTATAAGGGCAAGGATCTCTATTTAAAATCCTATATAAAGTTACCTTCTAAGTAATTATACTAATAGATATAGTAGTAATACCTTTTTTTACTATTATTTCTTTTAGTATATATATATATATACCTCCTCCTCCCTTAACACTATCTAATAGTAATATTAAGGAAGTAGTAAAGGTGTTATAGCCTATGCTTACTCTATAGCTTATATAATATAAGTTATTTGCAACCTATTATAAACGTGTTCCTAACTTATTATAGCCTAGTTCCTAAACTTAACCTAGCTCTAAACCTATCTCTAACTTAAAGGTTTCTATTCTATTAAAGAAATGCATATTAGCTTTATAAATAAAGATAAAATCTTACGTATTATAAAGCGTGAAAAGCTTCTACAGTTCCTATTTAAGAGTAGCCTTAGAGGAGTACACTATAAGTAGAGGATAAAGTATTAGGATCCTAAAACTATACGTGGTATAAGAGAATAGGTTTAGAACACGTTGCTAACACATTACTATAGGCGTATATATAGCAAATCTTTACATTAAGCTTAGGTAACTTAATTATTTGCCTTTTTAAAGAGTAGGTATTAATTCTATTAGATTAAGACACGTTCTAGATAGATATATTATATAAGAGGTTATATAGGGTATAGGTAGAGATTCTAATAGTAATCTTCTACCTATAGGAAAAGAAGCGTACGCATTAAGAATAGGTTTGTAACACGTTTCTAACATATTATAGTTATTACACTTAGCTAAATTATTATAGATAAGGATATAACTAAGATATATTAAGTTACTATTACTAACTTCTTTTAGAAGTGTAAAGCACTTATAAAAAGATAAGTGTTATAGAGGTATATTTACTTATAGGGATTCTATAGGACTACTATTAATATATACAACAAGTAGATAATAGGCAAGTTTTACAGCGCACCGCAATATATTTGTAACGTGTTTCTAACTTATTTCTAGGACTTAGGTGCTATCTCTAGTTAATTAATCCCTATAAGCGTGACTAGCGCTAGTAACTTTAATCTTGCATAAGATTTTGTTAAGTATATCTATAAAGAAGTATTTATAAAGTATATAAAAGAGAGCTAGATAATACTACCTCTTTACGTCTAAGTGAATTACTATAGGTATTAATAGCAGAGGAATACTTTTAGCTTACTAACCTCCTCTTATATAAGTAAATATATTCTAAACCTGTTCTAAACGTGTTCCTAACTTGTTCTTACATAATTAGAACACAAACCCTCTAAAGATACCTAAAACTAGGCAATCTATAAGAAAAACCTAGTAATTACTACTAGGATTGTGCAATGCTATAGTAAAATATTAAAAGAGGTATAGGAAAAACTAGAATCTTATTTAAATATAGCTAAGTAAGCAGGCTAGAAAGGATATAAAACTAGTAAGTATATAAGTATTCTTAAGGCTACTTAGAAGTAAGTTTATAACCTATTCTTAACCTGTTAGAATTATATAAGTAATATTATATAGTGCACACTAGATAGATCTATAGGATATAAAAGAGTTTAAAGCCTAGAGCAAGTTTAGAATACGCTATAACTATAGAACTCCTAATAGGCTTAAGCAAAGGTACCTTAAAAAGCTTTAGAGGGGAGAAAGTAAGTCTTACGCTAGCGTTATACATATTTGCTAATTAAAACGTGTTTAGAATATATTTAGAACACGTCCTATAATAATAATAACACTCTAGATAATAATAAAGCAAGTCTTGCTATATCTAACTTAACTAGATATATCTTAGTCCTAATAAGAAATAAAAGAGCACGCTTAAAAGCCTAAAGCTAGAGGGCAAGTAGTAGAGCGGTATTAGAAAGAAGTTCACCAGCCCCTTTTCTATCTTCTCTACTACTAGGCTCTTCTCCTCTACTAACAGCAACCTAAAGGTATGCTTCGCGAAACACGTTTATAACACGTTCCTAACTTGTTATTAGTCTGCAACTATAAACTTTGCAATAAAAGGCTCTTCTTAGTAATTAGGCTCTAAAGGAGAGAAAAGAAAAGCTAGAGGTAGATAAGGAAGAACTTATATAGAAAAAGGCACTATTTAAATTGCAAAAGGTATAGTTTAAACTTAAGAAAGAGATAGCTACTTTTTATACAAGGTAGGGTTAGTCTATAAATATAGTAACTAGTTCCTAACTAGTTCTTAATATATTCTAGTCTATTATATAAGTATATATAAGTAGATAAATATATATTCTTTCTTCTTCTCTTTCTTCTTCTTTCTTCTTACACTCTATAAGAACTTTTTATATTTAAGAGTTTAATACTATTTTACTATCTATCTTTCCTAATATTATTAGATATAACTAGTTAATATAGTCCACAAAGATCTTTTAAAGTTAGTATGTAATAGAACGCGTTAGGAACATGTTATAAACTTGTTCTAACACTAAGTAGGATTTATACTAGTAATATATTAAGCTTAAGTTACTTCTATCTAATACTAAGGCATTCTCTCCTATAATATCCTACCTAAATAATAGGTGTATAGTATTTCCTAGCAAGCTTTTCTACTAGGCTATTTAGGCTAGATTAGGGGTACAGGAACTTTATAGAGTATATATACATGCGAGTTAGAACACGTTTACAACATGTTAATAACTATTTTAGTATTACTTCTCTAATAGAGGTAATCTTATCTACTACCTTAAGAGGTATTATCCTAAGGTTTAAATAGCCCTAGTAAACTATAGCAGAACTATAATACAAGGCATTACAGAAGCAAGGATCTTCTATAGGAGCTTAATAGTAAATACTTAAGAACGTGTTCTAAACACGTTAATAATACGTTCTCTACTAGTAGAGTAGACTGCACTAAGTGCCTCCTCTAAGGTTCAAGAACCCTCTAAGATAGCTAGTCCACAACAAGAAGTGGTAGCTAGAGTAGAGGCTAAAGAGGAAGTAGAGAGTAAAGAAGAGGAGCAAATAGTTGCTCCCCTTTACACTATAAATAATATTTAGCAAAAGTAGTAAAAAGGAGATATAAGTCTAGTCTCTTAAAACACATTTAAAATATATTAATAATACGTTATAGCTAGACACCTATAAATACTAGATTCTTCTTTAATCTAAGAGACTACTAGAGCTTTATAATACCTATAAAAGTTAAAAGAAAAAGTTATATACTATTAAAGGACCCTATAAAAGTAAATAGTACTTTACTTTTAGTAGATAGAAAAAAAAAGAGAAGAGTAGAGAGTTTATTTTAGTAATTACTACTACCCCTTTAGGTTATATACTATTATATATTATTTATTAGAACCTATTCTTAACACGTTCTTAACGTGTTCCTACTTGTTACTATTATTATCTCCCTCCCCCTCTCTAGTATCTTCTCTATCCTCCCTAGGCTCTACAAAAGTATACCGCAAGTAGAACTAGGCAGCATTCTAGCAGGAATTAGCAAGGTCTACACTAGCATTAAAGTAACAGTCTTAAAATACGTTAGGAACAGGTTAATAATATATTATAAACAACTTACTATAGCTAGGATAATTGCGAGCGTAGATAGTATAAGGAACCTAATAACCTTAAATCCTTAGTAGGGTAGATATAGTAATAAAGTTAAGCTATAACAAGTTAGCAACATATTTTTAATAGGTTCTTACAGGCTATACCTTATTACTATTATAGCTACTATAAGTCTTCTTCTAAATTATATTTAGGAGGGTATTAGTATTTATAGGGGGGCCTATAGTAGCTACTAGCTAGGCTTAGAGAACTTCTATAAAATATATTAGTAATAAGTTTTAAATATATTCTAAATAACTTATAGTAAGGAGTATTCTAGTAATTATATATAACCTTTGTATAGAAGTCTATATATATTAGTATAATAAGTTAAGAATAGGTTAATAATATATTTACTCTTTACCTTATAGACCTCTATTATAGAGGGCTAGCTAGTCTTCTTAACCCTACTAACCTTATAGTAGGCTATATTAAGCCTATAATCTTTTTTAGCATAGGTATATAGAGTGCCCCTAGTACCTAGAATAGCCTAAGAATATTAGAACCTATTTAGAATATATTTAGAACCTATTCTTACTCTATATAAGGTGCCCTTATTATTAATCTTAGTATAGTAGTAGCGCTCTCTACTCTCTATCTTAACTACCCTATTAGGGCTAACTACAGGCTATACCCTAATATTATCTAGGATATAGCTAAGGGTAAGGTACTATTAATAGTGCTTCTATAACCTATTAAGAACACGTTCTAAACACGTTTTAATCTACTTATATAGGATAAGAGGGATGTGTTAGTAATAGGTATAGTAGTAGCAGCTTATAGTGTTACTAGTATAGAATATATTTAGAATAGGTTTAGAACGTGTTGTAAAATCTTACAGTATAATGTTTGGTTAACCTCGCTTAGCTAGCTAGTAGAGCTTGGCACGGCCTAACCCCATGCCGAATACGAGTTCACGCAGCGCTAATTCCATGGTCATATGAACTGCGCCCTCGGTTTGTGGGCAGCGTTGCAGAGGAGGGAAGATCGTTGGCAGCATGTGTTACTCCTACTCGAGGCGTCATCAAATAATAGGACCTACTATACATGGTACGAATGTATCATACCATATGGGCGTAGTTGGATGACTGTTCCACTTATACTATACTATCAGCAAAAACTTGCAAGCCGGTCTGTCAAGCTGAATCCTGATATGTATAAGCTCGCAGTGGCTGTCGCCGAAGCCGTTAGGTGGAAGATGAAAGAGGCTCCCCAGCCCCAGCAAGCAATGGCACGGTTGCCGGAAGCGTGGTGCATACTCTAGATGGATTCGGCGCAGACGTCCAGATGGACCGACTGGAAGCTGACATGCTACCGTATCTAGGGAGGTGGTAGACAAGGTCGGGAAGCCCGTGCAGAAAGGTTTGCAGTGTCCCGATCATGCTCCGATGGAACTGGCAAATATGGACGACGATTGCCTACACCCAAGTAGAGGGTATCATGGTATACCTACGCATGTATCGTACCGTACCATGGTATCATTAGGTACCTACGTGACGACTTGAGCGAAGATGAATTACGAAGATTGATCACCAGTTCACTCGGCTTGCGCGCCTCGGGCCATGACAACAGCAGGGGCAAAAGAAGCATGCAAAATAGCAGCAGAGCAGGAAAGCGACGATGGGAGATGTTGTGCTAGCTGCAAGATCTGAAACACACGTCTCATGGTGGTCTGTTCAGTGACAGGGCAGAGTCATGATGCTTGTGCCTACTAACGGCATGCGGTTGACTTCCAATTGGTTTACTTCACTCAGCCAAGCTCCGGAAACATTCATCCACGCCCCCCCCCCTACCTCGGTATACCCGTAACCCTATACCCCATCATCTTGGGCTATTCTAATCATCTAATGCATCGTTGCAAGCCTCGTCAGCTGGGGTAAACAGGGTCAAACGGCTCAGGATGAAGGCTCCCCATGGCCCATTTCCAGTCGCAAGCCTCACGAAAGCAGAGCGAATGTTAGTGTACGGAGAAGGCTCCGCGGTATAAGAGGCACGGCAAGCCTCCATCCTAGCCCAAATCTCCGAGTCCTGCTCACAACGTATGACATGGGAGTCATCCGTGTACGAACTCGTTGTCTACCTAGGTACTAGAGCTTTCGGATCTCCAGGCCCTCACAGGAACACCCTTGCAGCGCAAGGGGGGGGGGGGTACCTGCCAAGACGACAGGGCTCTCCGTCTTGGGCTGGAGGCGTTCACATCGTAAGATGGCGGCGTATTTGAGTTTCGTTCGCAATATAAGGAACTGACTCGGCCTCTGCGCGGTTCCTGTGCTATGACTTCTTGCACTCGTCGTTCGGCACCCGTCGTCAACTCCCACCTCTACAGGTACCATAATGGCAGTCGGTGAAACAGATCACCAAGCTATCTTCCTAGGTGTCGCATGGAGTGTGTATGGGCTGGCGCTGCTGCTTTCTTGCGCTCGTGTTTACGGTCGTTTTGTAATGACTCGACAGCCTGTCGCAGACGACTATCTCATGCTGGTGACCATGGTAAGCCATCATGATATGCTGGATTCTCGCATGCAAGCCCTAATATTTCATATAGTTTACCAGTACCGCTCAGATGATTGCGTCCACACTTCGTAAGTTGAACCACTGCAAAGCTGATTGTATAGGGGGTTGTGATGCTAATCCTGGTCAGTCGCATCGTTCATGGTTGGACGTCACTCCTGGAATATTACCTTGGAGGACCGTCGAAAAGCCTCGGAAGTGAGCTTGATTCCAGCCGGCAGCCTTTGCCCTGAATGCTAATTTGAGCAGTCCTACTATGCCGCCATCGCAAGCTTCATCCTGACCATCGCGCTCACGAAAATTGCCATCCTTCTACAGTTGGCCAAGATTTTTCGACCCTTCACTAAAAGAGCTTTGTATTGGGTCTGTTGGGGTCTCATCGGGTTCGTCATCATTTGGACGGTGGGTAGTGTACTGGGAGATTTATTGGTCTGCCGGCTACCAGATGCTAAGATCTGGGGAAAACGGAATTTTGTGAACAAATGTTCGCTGAGAAGTTGGACAGTCCAAGGCGCAATCAGCGTAACTCTGGATTGCATCATAATGATCCTGCCTACACGCGTCATATGGAAGTTACATATTCCGTTCAAGCAAAAGTCTTTAGCCATCGCGTTACTCGGCGTAGGCAGTATGTAAGTGATAAACCATCTGAAGTCTGTTGATGGATGACTAACGGAATTCAGCGGTTGCTTCTTCTCAATCGTCCGTACGACATCCCTTCATCTGATCAAACCAACAAACGACGCCGCCTACGAACTCTTTCGTATCCCCCTTTGGTTCACGCTGGAGGCTCTCATCGCTGTCTGCTGTGGGGCTTTGATGGGTTCAAAGCAATTGATTCTACAGTGGTTCCCATCCCTGAGCCCAAAGCCGCATGAGGTACTTCCGCCAATGCAACTGGATGCGACGCCAGATAATCGCAAAAACAGCCGAAACTACATCAGCCTAGATGCCGAGGACATCAACAAGCTCCGCCTTGAGAGCCTCATGTATCGTCTCGCAGTCATCGGCTCTCCATGGGCTCAGTTACCGAAGGATACCCCAAGTGCTTTGGAACAGGGACTCAATACAAAAACTGCGATAGAACAACAGGAACGACCCAACCGCCGTCCATCGTACACACCATCACGACCAAAGCCTGTCCGTCAGAGTAGAGGCCGGTCAAGGCAAGATTCGATTAACAGCACCATGGAATGAATGACCCGCTCCATTTTCTCACATACCGACGCGAAAACTATACACTATTACAGCACTTAAGGATTGCACCTTTTCATCAACTTACCGCTCATCCACCCAATACATACAGTATTCTGTACCACCTTGACGCCCGAGCGCATAGCATACCGACGCAGACATAATCAGGAAGAGGAAGGAGGAGGAGAAGGAGAAAAAGAAGAAGACGTAATGCCTGCAAGGAAGACGCTGCTGCCTTGTACCAGCAATTCAGACCAAATAGCGTCATTTGATGAGTCGAGAGCCGCCTGAAACAGCGGGAGCTTAGGTAGTGCCGGCACACCTTGAGCATTTTTTTGTATGGACGAGACGACGCTTATACCCATAGAACCGAAG